TGTCCTTCCCTCTTTGTACCCTCATTCTGCAGTCCTATTTCTAGAATTTTTTTTGTAATGTCAGTTTCTTTGCCTTGTTTTTCCAAAGTCCAAATAGTAGTGAATTCATCCAGTAAGTCTTTCTCCTTCTGATTCTTTTCACTGAGCATAATCCTCCCCCAGCATTCCATTGTTGTTGTTGCACATGGCCAGATGTATCCTTTTTCATAGCTCACTAGTATTTCATCCTGTCTATATACCACTTCTTTCTTTTCGAATTATTTTTCAACCGTTTGTCAACTCTGATTCCTGAATTGATAACATTATTTTCCTTCCAATTGCAATTGGGCCTTGAACCTCTCCTTGATTTTATTGTTTTCATCTTCTGCATTGAGTTCTGTCTTTGTTTGTGGCACACATTCAGGATCTCATCTTACTGTATAGGTAATATTACAATGACTTCTCAATAGAGGTAGTTATCTGTTATTTTCTGGGGTCATTCTTTTCATTCTGTGATGCTTTAGACTCAGATCATATCATTAGAGTGATCCACACGGCTCCATTTTCATGATTAGTCTTCATAGAATCTAGTTCCATCCTTACATTCCACATAGTGCGCTGAAGGCTATTGAGTGTCATATAGGTAAGATTGAATTGGTGTTATTTTTATTCATTCAGACACATTTGTCATTGTATTGTGGACTTTTATTTACACCAAAGTATTACTGAAAGGGAGGCATTAACTTTATTAAAGAATGGTTCCTCTATTCTCAGTCATTTTATTTTTTTTAATTTTTTTAAGATTTATTTATTATTTATTCAAGCACGGGTGCAGTCAGAAGCACGGAGGGTGCGAGAAATTCACCAGAACCAGAGCGGAGAACAGAACAAGCAGATTGACAAAGTACACTGCTGAGGGGAGCAGTGGGCGGCATTAGAGGTCTGCACAATATGTGGGACCCTTGCTGGCAGCCGGAGATCTAACCAGCTCTGCAGAGGCTGCGGGCAGCTTCACGACCCAGCGCTCAACCGCTGTGCCACTGTGGATGCAGTATTCTCAGCCATTTTATACCCCATTTCCAACCTACTGCATCACTGTATATTTTTTGACCTTTTCTTATATGCTTTATTCCTCCTCTCTCCTTTCTTGTTGATTCCTTCCACTTTCAGACATTTTGATGTTAATGGAGGTATAGTGGTTTGTAATATTGTTTACAAACATTGTAAAGCATTGTCATCCAACCTATGTACACATAACATCAGTCTCTGTTTTCATTTCTTTTCCACGTATTTTACGGTATCTTTTTTCTCATGGGCATTCCATAGCATGTTGAATAGTTATGACAGTCTTTTCTAAAGTGAAAACCATGTAAATTCAGCTGCATACCAAAACTCCACTCTTTAACATTTCTACCCCTACTGACATCACAAATTATATCTCATGATATTGTATCTATAACATGAATCTATGATTTTTTTTTCCCTTATTTCCAAATCTGAAGCAGAAACAATATTTTTACTATAGGGTTATATCTGTATTTGCTATGAATTTACTTTCCCTAAGGATGTTACCTATTCATAAGCATGTGTGTTGCTGTCTAGTGCTGATGTTACCTATCCAAAATCATGTCAGGGGTCTTTATATGGTATTTATTTTATGTCTTAAATATTTAAAGTATTTTGTCTTGAGTGCTGTGCGTGGGGTAGTTATTCCTCGTTGTCTTCCTGCCCTGTCTTCTCAAGACAACCAGGTCTCCATGCCACAGTCAGGCACAGAAGATTTGTTGCTATATGTGGGCCCGGGAGGAGATGGAATGGGCACCTTTGAGAATTTACAATTATTGATAGAGCAGACATGTCAAGAGGCATGTGAAGGGAACAACAGTTGTTGAAAATGAAGATTCTCAATAAGGGACAATTATCCATAACAAAATTCCTCCTGTACAAAGTGATCCTGCGTGTAAACCATGCTGGGTAAAACTCCATTTTACGTCTGTTGCAGGTAGAGATAAATATGTTTCTGTTAGCAAAGATCCACGTGACATTTTTAACAAGACAAAATCTCTGAGAAGAATGTTGGAACATATGGGAAGTCCCCTAGTACATAATGCAAATGATTATTCAAAACACTGTCATAAACTTTCAGTCATGTCATTCTCAACATCAGAGAATTATAAAGGAAGATGAAAAATCTACACAGGATCCTATTGAGGAGTCCTCAATACTTTTCCAGCATCATGTACTTCATGAGAAACTCTACAATTGTAAAGGATATGGCAAAGCTACCAAATGGTGCCCAAGACTTACTGAACATCACAGAGAGAAACCTCACAAGTGTGAAGAGCATGGTAAAGCCTTGTATTGGCATCCACAGCTGACTAACCATCTAAGGATTCATGCTGGAGAAAAGCCTACACACGTCCTGATTGTGGTAACACCTTCCTGTGCTGTGTCACCTTTCCCGACATCAGAGAGTTCACACTGGGGAGAAACCTTACAGATGTGAGGAATGTGGGAAAGCCTTTAACCAACTGTCAGCCTTTAACTATCTTAGCATCACAGAATTCATACTGAGGGGAAACCTTACAATTGTGAAGGATGTGACAAAGCCTTTAACAATAAGTCATGTCTTACTCGACAACATAGAATTCATACAGGGGAGAAACCTTCCAGATGTGAAGAATGTAGGCAAAGCCTTCTACCATCCATCACATTTAAGTCAACATCACAGAATTCATACTGGGGAGAAACTTTACAAATGTGAAGAATGTGGCAAAGCCTTTCACCGCAAGTCAAGTGTTACTCTACATTAGAGAATTCACATCAGAGAGAAATGTTAAAATTGTGAAGTAATTTTTTTTACTTTAGTCTCCTTTTTTCAATATTTATTTTATTATGCATATAAGAACTGGGGTATCTGCCAGAGGTGGGGGTGTGTGAGAGTATTCATCAGAGGCAGAGTGGGGACCAGAACAGGCGGATTGACTGAAATAACTGCTGAGGGGAGCAGCAGGCGAGACAGGAGGGGTCTGCTGCACCATGTGGGTAGCTCCCTGACCTGGAATCCAACTCGTACTGCAGTGGCTGTGTATAGCTACATAGGTTGTGTCTTAACCCCTTGTGCCACCAGTGAGGTCCCAACTTTGGTGTCTTTAACCAGAAGTCCAGAAGTTTAACCAGAAGTGTCAAAGTGATTAACCAGAAGTCAGATCATCCTAAACATCAGAGAGTGCAAACCAAGAGAAACTGTAAATGGAAAGTGATGAGTGGATTGTCCAAATATGAATTTTGAAGCCACCAGGTTTTCATACTGGAAACTTGAAAGAAGTGAAAATATGATTAAGTAATTAATAATGCAATTTAGATTCATATTAATATATTGCAATACAGTAGGAAGTGAGAAACACTTTACATTCCTTAAGTCAGAAAATTTTTATGGAGCATAAGCCAACATTAAAACACTAAATATTAGCATAACTGAAAAGTCTGAGGGCCTTCCTGGTGGTGCAGAGGGTTAAGTCACAGCACTATGAAGCTATCGTTTGGTCCCTGGCCAGGGAGCTGACCACATGAAACAGCAGACCTCTCCTGACTTATCTGCTGCTCCCCTCAGCAGTGTGTTTCAGTCAATCTGCTTGTTCTGCTCTGCACTCTGTCTTTGGGGAATCCTCTCACCCCGTACACTTCTGGCCTACCCCTCTGTTCTTGTATGCATAAATAAATAAAATCAATCTTTAAAAAATAAATTAGAGTTCAAGACGATGGTTTGGGGCCCTGTATAGTTATTTTCTTTGTCCTTTTTTTAATCAACCATACTTGAGATATTGTGAAGAGACCTGATGAATATAATTCAGCCCTAAATCACTTCACTCTATGGCTTTCTCCTGGTATGTAGGTGGAGTCAAGTGTTTGACTTTCATGTGTCAAACATCTAAGGGACCCTCTCCAGTTGATGAGTTTCTTTACATCTCAATTGCTTGGGTACATTTATGATGGTGTCATGTATCATGGATGATGAAAATCTAAATGGATATGCTCTTTGTGTCTGACTGAACAGATTGATCTAAATCACCCAGAGGAGTGGTGGACTTCATTGTGGGCATAAAAGTTAGACACGGAAACGTGCTGAAGTTCAACTCATTTCATCATTTTCTCCTTCAGGGAATACACTAACAGTTTATTAATATCCTCATGTTTCTTCATGGTAGTAATGGAGCCATGAATATTATTGGACGTTGTTGCCAACAAAAATCTTCACAAGCGTGTGATGAAAGAGCAGGTAAGCTTTTCATAACAGCGTAGAATTCTTGTCCATTCACATTAGAAAAGCAAGCTTTATGTTGAACACCGACTCTGTGATCCAGATATCAGAAGGTCAAGATGCTTCTTAAATACCTGAATGTTGATTTTGATGAAATGTGTTTTGGTAGATGAATGTGTTATTTAGACTATATGTGAACTTCTTATGTATATTTTTAAAATTTATTCATACAAGAGCTGGGGTGCAGGCCAAATGGTGTGTGTGTGTGTGTGTGTGTGTGTGAGAGAGAGAGAGAGAGAGAGAGAGAGAGAGAGAGAGAGAGAGGATTCACCAGAGACAGTGTGGGGCATAGAACAGGCCGACTGACCGAAATACACTACTGAGGGGAGCAGTGGGCAAGAAGGGTGATGTCTGCCATGCCCTGTGGGTAGCTCCCTGCTGTGGAGGGGGCAGATAGCTTGTCAGTCAGCGGGGTGCTTAACCCCTTCAGCCCCAGGGCGGCCCCGTTGACCTCTCTTCCCTCAGAGCCCTGAACCCATTATGGGCCCCGCAGTTTTCATGGGCCTCGCCCACCTGCCGGTTCTCCTCAACCTCCACTCCTCCCACTTCCAGGCCTCAACCCCACCCCAACGACGGCCTGACGGGCTGCGCAAGGGGTTGTGGGAAATGTAGTCTCCAGCCCCCGTGGTTCCCGCGGAGGTTTCTGGGCGGGGCTTCCGATCTCTGCGCGATCCCCGCCCCCCACCCCCCACCACCGTCCGAACGTTCTGGCGCCTCCGCGAGCTCTGGGGCGCCCCGAGGTGAGCGCGGGTTTGTCCCGGGAGGCCGGGCTCGGGTGAGCGGAGACGCCGGGGGGTTGGGAGCGGGGGCGCGGGCGAGCGGGGCCCCGGCCGCGTGGAGTCGGGCGCTTTGGAGCCGATTCCCCCGGAGCGCGCGTGGGGGCGGGGCAGGGACGTTGGGGAGAACGTCCCGGCCTTTCCGGGGTGTCCCCGGCGCGGCCGCCCGGCCCTGACCCCGGACGCTGCCCGGGGTCTTCCCGGGGCGGGGGACGGGGTCCCCGAGGCGGGGCCCTGGGGAAGCGCGGGTCCGCCTGTGCGCATGCGCGCTGACTCCTCTGGACCCCCGAAAGTCGGGCGGTGAGGGAGAGGAGAGCCAGGCTGCGTTTCTGGGCGGGGTTGTATTGCGCCCGGGGCCAGATTCATGGACCCAAGGTGGGTGGGTGACGTTGCTCAGGTTGCCAGGATGGAGGCAGCCCCTGTGGGGGGGGAGGTCCCGGGTTTGGGGGGTGTGGTTCCTGCTGCGTTAGAGGCTTGTTGTCTGAATTTCCAGGCTCCTTTCGCATTCCCGCCCCCTGGCGGCGTCCTGCTGGCTTCTGCATTAGGCCTCCAGCCTGGAGGTGAGCACCCAGGGGGACTGTGTCCCTGTTGGGGTGTCCACGGAGAGGAGGGCGGGAAGCGGCGCGGAGCCACTGCCGGGGTGTCCTGGCAGAACAGTGCGTTCGGGGCGTCGTCTCGTTGGAAATCGTGTCCACACTCTGAAGTGACTCCTCAGCTTTGAGACTGTTGTTCCTGCGTCACTGTTGATCAGGCAGTGGGAAGTGTCACCTTTTGTTAAGTTATGGTGAACCGTGAACCCACGTTCTGCGCGAGTGCTCATGGACTCGCGGGGCCTTTCCTGCCCCTACTAGAAGTGTCACACGGCCGTCACCCGCAGTGACTCTCTGGTGTCTCCAGGCAGCGTGTGGCGGGCTCTGGAAAGGAGACCAGGACCCCATGCAGCTGCCTCCGTCCTCTGTGCTGGACCCCATCGCCCCTCCCAGCACCGCCTCCAGAGCCCTCGCGCGTCTGTGAGAGCAGCGACAATGGGCCAATCTCTGGTGAGTGCTGTGTTTGCTTCAGCTTGGGGTGCATTGACTTTATGGGAGTACCTCAATGGACATGTAAATTAGAAACATAGTTTTCTCCAGGGACACATTCCTCACCAGAGAAAGGTGTGGCGTAGATCCAGGCACTTCACATGTCAGCATGTGTGAAGATTGGGCTCTGCCCTGGTGCTCACGCAGCACAGAGTCTGTACCTGGGTCGCGGTTGATGACACTGAAGGTGTGGACTGTGGCTCTTCACCCCGCTGGACAGAAACACTTCCCAGCTCTGCGCTGATAAGGTGCGGGGTGAGGGAGGAGGAGGAGGATGGGGCCAGAGGACCTGACTGCAGAATGGGGGTGAAGGAGCCACATGTCTTTTAAAAAGGACAACTGATTTTTTTTTCAAGATTTGTTTATTTATTTATACAAGCACTGGGTATAGTCAGAAGCGCAGGAGGGTGAGAGAATTCACCAGAGCCAGAGCGGGGAGCAGAGCAGGCAGAAGGACCGAAGTACACTGCTGAGGGGAGCAGCGGGCAGCAGGAGAGGTCTGCGCGCCATGTGGGACCATCGCTGGCGGTCGAACTGGTGCTGCAGAGGCTGCGGGCAGCTTCACAACCCAACGCTCAACTCCTTGCGGCCCCCAGGAGGCCCCAACTAAATTTTTAAGGTTTCTGTGCAATAGCTAAAATCATATACTGTGTCCTGCACAACTCTCGGAGACTTTCATGCAGGCATCAGTCTTGGCATGTGTGCCGTTGAGTCCAATGGGGGATCCTTACATTCCTGCCCCTGCCTTTCTTTCAGGTGGCCTGCAAACCGAAGGTGCCCAGTAGACTCTTCAGAGTCCTTTTTTCTGGCCGTTGTTTCCACTGCTCCTGCACATTTCTCCTTGGTGTGGTCTGAATGCATTTCTAGTGACACTCACTACACCCTAAGTTGCTCTCCAGTCCAGTTACACTCTCCACATTTTCCTGCCATGTTTGAGAACACCATGTGTGACCTTTTGGAAATTTCATTTTTTTTAATTGTTTTAAAGCTTCTTATACTTTTTTCTTATTCTTTTACTTATTTTCCCTCCTTGATCTGTCATTGACATGTGTAGCACTAAAAGCCTTCTGCTGAAATAGTTGCCAGTTTTTTCCTACAATCCTAATGGGTTTTGTCCTACCCCTTATTTCCCCTCTAACAAACCACTCTGGCCCGTCCCCCGTCTGCCTCCCTCCCTAACTACTTCACCCATTCCCCTGTTCCCTCTGGTGGATCTTTACTTTCAAATGACCCTGTTCAAGTTTTATTCAAGTATTTTGGCTGTAAATGTTTTTTGGGTATTTATTTTCCACAGATGAGTGAAGCCATCTCATATGTGTCTTTACTTTTTGGCTTATTTCACTCAAGAATAGCACCTCCCGGGGCCTCCCTGGTGGCACAAGGGGTTAAGATGCAACCGATGGGGCTGTCTGTAGTCTCTGCAGCACAAGTTCCATCACCCGGCCAGCCAGGGAGCTACCCACATGGCGCAGCAGACCTGACTGGCCTGCTGCGTCCCTCGGCAGTGTATTTCGGTCTATCTGCCTGTTCTGTTCCCTGCTCTGTCTCTGGTGAATCCTCTCACCTTCCTCCCCTGCACTTCTGGCCTGTACCCCAGCTCCTGTAGGCATAAATAAATAAATTTAAAAAAAATCACCTCCTTGCCCACCCATTTTATCCTCAGTGTGGCCCTTTGCTCCTTCCTTACAGCCCTGCAGTGCTCCCCTGCGTGTGCTCCACCATTCCTGCCCTGCCTCTGCCGAAGGGATGTAGATTGGGCCATGACTGGGCAGTTGGAAACACAGCTGCTCTGCTCACGGATGGGATAAATCTTTTTGTGTTTGAGTTTTCCCGTGAGGATAATGTGTAGAAGTATTGCAGATGATATGGATTTTCCGTTTTTATTTCCTAAGAAACCTCTGCACCCTCATCCACAGGGTCTGTTCTGACTGTCATGGCCACCAGCCGTAGGTGAGTGCTCCCTTTTCTCTGTGCCCTCTCCAGCGTTGTTCATTCCATATTTTTTTTTTTAGTGTTTCACTTTTTTAAATACTATTTTACTTATTTTTACATCATTTTCATTTTTGCACAGTGTAAACATTTACATCTTCATTATAGTCCCCATAAAATTCTCACCCCTCACCCCCCGTTTTGTATAAATCCATTTGTTTTCATTTGGGCCTTCTCAAGGGGTGAGGTGGCATATAAGTGTGATTTTAATTTACATTTCTCTTAAAATAAGTTAAGGTGAACATTCCTATTGTCTGTAGGATGTCAGAATTCCCTCTTTAGAGAAGAGTGTATGTAGTTCCTTTGTCCATTTTTTAATTAAGATTTATTCATTTATGCATACAAGAACTGGGGTACAGGCCAGAGGTGCAGAGGGTGAGGGGATTCGCCAGAGACAGAGTGAGGAGCAGAACAGGCAGACTTACTGAAACACACTGCTGAGGGGAGCAGTGGGGAGTCAGGAGAGGTCTGCTGCGCCATGCGGGTTGCTCCCTGCCAGCCAGGGATCGAACTCGCGCTGCAGAGGCTGTGGATAGCTTCATAGTCTGCGTCCCAACCCCTTGTGTCACCAGGGAGGCCCCCCTTTGTCCATTTTTAATTGAGTCATCAGTTGGTTTATTGCATTGTTTGGGGATGTTATAAATTTTGGAATGAACCCCTTGTCACATGTGTGGCATGCAGATTCTTTTTTCTGTTCTGTAGACTGCCTTTCAGTTTTTGGGCTGGTTTCTTTTAAGGTGTGAAAGCTTTTAGTTTTAATGGTGTCCCACTTGTTGATTTTTGCTTTTGTTTCCCTGGGTGTTGGGGTTGTGTTCCCTAGTGCACTTTGGGGCAACTGTCCTTAGTGTGTCCCTATATTTTCTGTCAAGTACATCACCAAATATTTAAGCCATTTGGAATTTTATAGATTGATTTATTTATCCATATAAGAGCTGGGGTACAGGCCAGACATGTGGTGGGTGAGAGGATTGACCAGAGACAGAGTGGGGAACAAAACAGGCAGATCTGGTGAAATACACTACTAAGGGGAACAGCAAGGAGACAGGAGAGGTCAGGTGTGCCGTGTGGGTGAGTTCCCTGACTGGGGATTGAACTCATGCTGCAGGGGCTGTGGATAGCTTCATAGTGCTTTGCCTTAACCCCTTTCTTAACCAGGGAGACTCCATGTTGCTGTATTAAGTCGGTTGGAATTTGTTGAGGATTTTTGCTTCTCTGTTCTTTGGTGGTGGTGGTCTATTTTTCCCTTTTATGCTTTCTTTTTTTTGGGGGGGGGATCAGGACAATATTGACATCATCGTATGTGTTGGTGAGTTTTCCTCCGACTTCAGTGTTTTGGAAGATGCACATTTCTTTGTGTTTGCTTCTGTCATGGTCTCTCTGATGATTTCTTTTCTGTGTCCCTGAATGCTTGAGTATCTTGTGCTCCTGAATGTAGCTAGTCCCTGTGTTCCGATCTGGTCTCCCGTCTTCAGTCTGCACTTCTCCAAGTGAGTCAGTCAACTGTGTTTTGCCATTTCTGCCAGTTACACTTGAGCGTGGGCCTCCTGCCCAGGCCTAGTACCACAGGCTCGGCTCCCACCTGACTGCGCCTGTAGCCGTCCCAATGGCACCTGCCGCTCATGCAACATGCAAACCTCGTCCTGTGTTGTGCCCTCCCATGTGGGATTAGATCTTTCTCAGCCCAGGTCTCCCGCCACCAGAAAGGGATTACTCTGTTCCAGAGCTTAGCCTCACCCAATGCAAGTTACTCTTCAATATTACCTGATATCTTAATGGTTGCTAACAACAGCACCACCGTGTGTGTGTGTGTGTGTGTGTGTGTGTGTGTGTGTGTGTGTGTTCACTTTCTTTCACATTACAGTTCTCATTCATGGCCAAACCTGATGGATGCATTTTCTCAGTGATGAGGTTGCTCCCTTTTCTGCCTCCGACTGGCCAGGGTGTGGTGACACCTCAGAGTTCAGGGGGAGAAAGTACTCAGGAGTCAGTGGGACGTGTTAGAACAAGGGTCATGACACAGACACTCGCTGAGTAAAACCAAATGTTCATCATTTGACCTTTGGTGGCTGGGAGTTTATGTCAGTGATGCTCAATGTAGTTTTTAATAAAGAGCTCCAGGTTTCTGTCATCGAGTCTGGAGTATAGTAGGTGTGTTTGCATTTGTCATACGTATGATTCTTGCTGAAGTTATGGTTAATGGTAGATTTTTTTTTTAATTTTGATAGATGTATAGAATATTGATAGAATGAATATATTTTGCAACCTAATTTTACCAGCTCTTCTGTCACCTGTGACCATGCAAGTGTTTCATTTTATAAACCTTTGCACTGTGGGGAGCAGCAGTGGCTGCTCTTCTGCCCAGCATGACTGTTGATTCCTTTTCTCCTTTTCCTAGTAAACGTGGCCCTCCATTCATTCATTCATTCATTCATAATTTAAATGATGAACTTATTTATGCATACAGAAACTGGGGTATGGGCCAGAGGTGTGGGGGGGAGGATTCTCCAGAGACAGAGTGGGGAGCAGAACAGGCAAATCTATTGAAATACACTGCTGAGTGGAGCAGTGGGCGAGTCAGGAGAGGTCTGCCACGCCATGTGGGTAGCTCTCTGGCTGGGGATTGAACTCATGCTGCTGTGGCTGCGGGACAGCTCCATAGGTAGTGTCTTTACCTTTGAGCCACCAGGAAAGCCCCTGACCCTTTATTTAAATGTAAAATAAAAAGTCTCCTTTCACTGTTATTGCATGTGGTGTTCTTTGGCTTTTAGTATCTGACAGTGTTATACAGCCATCACCACCTTCCAGATTTTTTTCATTTCCCAGTAATGAAATACTGTACTCATTAAACTCTCGCTCCCAACCGCTCTGTCCCTCAGCCCCTGTATCCACCATTTACTTTCTGTTTTCAAGAGTTTGACAAACAGACCTGTATGAATGGAGTCTTATTACACCTTGTTTTCTTGGTGAATCTCTTATTTTATTGCATTGTTAACTGTTTTGTGATTTCATAGGTACCGTACAGGAGTGCATTCATATTATAGTGTGCATCATTGTTTAGTTCCATTGTGAGGCTCATTAATAATCTCTTATGTGTATTTACCAGTCTTATTTATCCATTAATCCATCACCTGGGGCTTGGGTTGATTTTACTTTGGGCTGCAATGACTGGTGGTGCAGTGACAGTAGGTGAGCAAACATCTCTGCCCGTTCCTGCTGTCCCTGCTATTGGTGAACACCCCGGGGTGGGTGTGGGTCCTCCTGTCATTCTGAGTTCCCTTTTCCCAAGAATCACCTTCCTGTCTTCCCTCCTGGCTGCATCATTTATGTTTGCCCCAACAGTGTGCAAGGGAGCCCGGTCCCAATTTTTGCCAGTACTTGTTCTTTTCTTTCTTTTTAAATCATTGCGATTCCAGCGGACATAAAATCTCATCTCTTGTACTTCTCATTCATTTTTACTTTGTGCCTGCTCGTATTGAGAACGTTCATGTGTTAGGACCTGCTTGGGTATGTGATTTGCAGAACTGTGTATTCCAGTCCTTTACTCATGGTGGCACATTTCCATTTTGAACAGGGTCGAAAATGTGAGGGGATTGTATTGTCCCATTTTGTCATATGATCCTTTTATGGCATCCTGAGCCCACTCCTGCTGGGAGGTCCCGTGAGTTTCTGTGCGCAGAAATGAGCCATCCACCTTCTCTCTGCTGTTTTATTTCTCGTATTAGTGTTTTAATCAATGAGCTGTAAATAAATGCATTTTTGTTTTCCTAGAACTGGGATGTGCCGGCTTACCTTGCGAGAGTTGCTGTCAGTGCAGCAGGCTCTTAGTGTCCTGGATGCTGTTGTGTCTTTGCATTTGTTTAATTCATTGTTTAACCCTCCGGGTTTCTTTATTCCAGCAAGTCTCTGCCCTTGGTTCCGCTACATGCATTGCTTACTGTTTTGTCATTTCACTGGCAGCGTACAGGAGCTCCTGTGTGTGTGAACACGGGTGTGTGTTATAGTCTGCTCACTAGGTTTTCCTTTCCAGAGTCGCTTTACTATGGCTTTCATTAGTTTTCCAAGAATGAATTATAACTAGTTATGACCGTTTTTATGTATGTTGTCTTTTTGTTGTTGTTGTTACGTAACGTCACCCAAACCCATTGTGAATAGGGGACACTGAGCATCTTTGTTAGTCCTCCTCTCACTGTGAATGTTGATTTCACCTGTGGCTGTGTCAAGGACTTGTTTTGTGTTGAGGAAAAATCCTCTGAATCCTTTTTTAGCTAATACAAATGGAAATTTATTTTAATGGGTTCCTATTCTATATGTATGTGGCGGTGCACAGGATTTACTACACAGGAAAGGACATGATTGAATACATTTACGGATTTCTTAAGATGTTTGTTTTCTTATACCGTGTATCTTATTTTCCAAAACTCTTTCATTGCTATGATCTATTTTTTTCTTTCTCCAAAAGAAATATTTGTCTCTTCTAGTTGTTTTTCCTCTTCTTTCGATCCCTTTTGTTCTGGTCACCGTGTTCTCCCCTATGGCGATGAAAACTATCAATAATATCCTGGAGATTCCCAAATTCTTTCTTTTCTTTAATATTTATTTTATGTATGCATATAAACACTCGGGTGTAGGCCACAGGTGCAGGGGGTGAGAGGATTCACCAGAGACAGAGCGGGGAACAGAATAGGCAGACTGAGTGAAATACACTGCTGAGGGGAGCAGTGGGGAGACAGGAGATATCTGCTGCGCCTCGTGGATAGCTCCCTGGTTGGGGATCGAATTCGTGCTGCAGCAGCTGCCGATAGCTACATAGTGCTGAGACTTAAACTCTTGTGCCACCAGGGAGGCCCTGATTCCCAAATTTCTGTTTTCAAATTAGACTTCCTGATCTATCAGACACATGTCCAGTTGCGTGTGGAATTCCAGTGTCTACCAGCCCGTCATGCGGACAGCATATTAGGAAAACATTACTTGTACCTCAGCCACCAATTTATTACCAAGTTCTCCTCCCCTTTGTCCTTCCATTTTAGAACTGATGAACTGTTCTATCATCTTCTGACTCTGTTAGCTGAACATCTTTTCTTAAAATTTTATTTTATATATATTTTACATCATTTTTTTATTTCTGCACAAGTTATGCATTTTCATCTTGGTTATAGTCCCCATACCTCCCACCCCCCTTATTTTGACCCTAATCCCTCCACCCCCCACATAGTGCATCTCTGGTTTATACTTGCTTGTAGTTGAACATCTCTTACCTGTGCTTTTTCCCACCTCATTGCTTGAACATTTTGGTTTCGGGTTCAGTTTTTGTTTACTGTGAGTTGGAGATACCAGGCTTTGAGGTCACAGGAGTAAAATATTGTCACAAAGTTGCACACGATTTTCATGTGTTATGAAGCTCCTTTAGCACATGATTCCGGATGTATGTCTGTTACACCTGCCAGCCAGGCTATCAGCTCCTCAAGGAGCCAATTTTATTCATCCTTTTATTCTTAGAATCATAGACACTTCCAAATATATAAGGTAAGCTATAGTTCTACTTGTAGGACCAAAGGGGTGAATGTAGAGGCGAGGCTCTTTCATCTGCGAATTCTATACAGGACCAAAGACCCACAAAATAAGATGTGTTTGCACTTGCTCTATCTGACCCAGGCTGCCGGCCCTGAGATGAGAAATGTTCCCTCAGAAGAGACAGTGTCATTTGAAGATGTGGCTGTTAACTTCACGTGGCAGGAGTGGCGGTACCTGAGTGAAGCTCAGAGGACCCTGTACCGGGATGTGATGCTGGAGACCTGCAATCACCTAGTGTCCCTAGGTGAGGAAGCTCCAGTGTAACACTAGTGCAATGCTGTCTTCTGCACCGATAAGTGTGCACTTGCTTATGAAAATGAGTGTTGGTGAGGTTGAACTATGGCAGGCAGTGTACATTGTGGGTGTTTTGGTTTTCGTTTGGAAAGATTCAGATTGGCCTCTTTTGAACAGCTCTTCACACTGCATTTGTTAGTTTTCAAAGACTGAAGTTGAACTTGATCGAAGACCAACAGTGTTTCTCATCACAGGGCACTGTGTTACCAATCCTGAGGAAAGCATCAGGTCGCAGCAGGGATTACAGCCGTGGACTGTGGACGATCCCCCAAACCAGGACCTCTCAGGTCAGTCAGTGCTTGCCAGGCCGGGAGGCTGAGAGGAGGCTGGGAGTGTGGCCAGTGATATTGGCCACACTGAGGTGCTTTTCCAGTGTCCAACCTTGGAGAGTGTGTCTGCATATATCAAACTGATTCTTTATTCAGTTTCCAAATATTAATCTCTTGTGAATTTCATCCTGCTCTTTTAATGATGGTTGTCTATGTTCTTAAACGAGTATGCAGTCCCTGATACTGTGGGGATTATTCTGCATAATCACATTTCTCTGTTCTCTCTCTTAGTGTATTGTCATAGACTGTTTTCTTTAGGTACTTGTTGAGGGATTTTTTTATTCTTTCCGTATGTTTATGGGAAGTTTAGCCAGTGGTAAATTTTCTGAGGGGAGAGCAACAGTACTCACAGAAATGATCTTTACATTCTGAAGTTATATGCTCTGTGAGGAAAGAATATGTAATAAATACATTCATTAATAGAGAGGTAAAACCATAGAGGATGTTTGACCAGCATGAGTGGAGGATGTTGTTTTTGTGTGTGTTCCATACGCATCATTATAGAGATAATTCTTTTCTTTCAGAGCTCAGGTGAGGTGAATGGGTTGCACTGACATGTCATATCTATAGTTCCCTCTGCATTCTGGGATAGAGGCTATGTATTGCTATTGGAGATGTCACTGAGCAGGTGACTAACTCAAAAGGGATAGAGAGGCGTTGACTGGAGAGTTATTTAGAACATGAGTAGTGTTTCAGGGGCAAGCCTTGTGACCGCCCTCATAGTAATCGTGAGGCTGAGGAGGACCCAGAATTGTTCAGCGTTGGAAGGGATGTTCTGTGACATGGGAGGGGGAACCTGAGGTGGTGGTTTCTAAAGCCATGGCACCAAGAGTTTCAGGTTGGGGGCTCATACCTTGGGGAGCAGTGTGACCTGTGCAATTCCACCTTCTCATGGGAATCATTGGGAGGAAAGTAAAGGAATCGACGACAGTGTGATGTAGCTGAGAGTCACACACAACATAAAAACTGGAGCTGCTATGAACAAAGCAGAAACACAGGTTCCAGGGAGTGCGTTGAGACCACCAGGGTGTTGCTCTCAGAAGGATGTGAGAAAAGACTTTAACGCTGATAACAAAGGATGGATGCAGAACTTTTTTCCTATCGCTTAGCAGGAACGTGGGACACAATGATGAGGTGGAGTTTGCTGCATGTATTAGGATTCTGAGCCTTATGTGATATGATATTTAAATATGAACTGACTGGTCTCTTCCGTGGAGGGAAGCACATGCCTCTGAGAACCTCTGCAGGTGACCGTGGCCCGGGGTGGGGTTGAAAGAAAAACTAAGGAAATGGAGAAGCAGAGTCCTTGTGTCTCAGCCGGCCTCTTGCTTAAAGTGCCTGGGCAATGACTGGGTCTCTCAGTCCACAGGTTTCTGGGAAAGCCATGGCCTCTGCAGGGCTTGGTTATTCAGAAAGTACCCTCAAGAGCTGCACAGGGTCAGTCTAAGAAAGAAAGTGTGTAGGATCTATGTTGGGTGAAATGCTTCTGGTTGAAATCGACAACTCTAGTTAAAAGACTGTATTTACCAAATATTTATGATTTTATAAAACCATTGTGAAATTAGATTTACTGCTTTGTTATCCTGGTTTGGCATTAGAAAATCTGTTAATTGGGGCCTCCCTGGAGGCCTAGGGATTAAGTCTCTTAGCTCTCACTATTATGGCCTGAGTTTGATCCACAGTGAAGGAGTTCACTGACTTTGGCATAGCAAATCTCTCCTGTCTCACCCGCTGCTCCCCTCAACAGTGTATTTCAGTCAGTCCGCCTATTCTGGTCAACATACTCCCCTACAGCACGCTCCCCTACAGCACCCCCACGCCTGCACCTCTGGCCTACACCCCAGATCTCCTTTGCTAAAGTAAAAAATACCAAAAAAATCTATTCTGCCTATAATTTACTACGGGCAAAAAGCATGAATCAGAAAATCAATACCTGTAAATTATGTTGTAATATAGGAACTTCCGTGCCACTTAGTAGTATTCACTCAGAATGCTTACTTTTTAGAGACATGGTCATTTTTATCTCACTTTAGATGTCCATACTGTGGATCACCTGACTCAGGACAGCTCTGCAAATCAGGGCAGACATTTGTGGCAAGTTCTTACCACCAGCAGCAAAATACCATCCAACGAGAGAACTGACTTAATGGAAAAAAGCAATTTGCACTCAATTCATTGTTTGAACCATAGTATCAAAAATGAAAACAATTCAGCAATGATGTCTGAGAACTTTACTATACATAGGACCATGATGATCCCTGGTGAGCCTCGTGAAGAACATGCTGGAGAGAATGAGGAGGTCTCTAGTAGAATGAGGGAACCTATCAAGTATCCTGAGCACCTTAGTCACCAGGTGATTCAGAACTTTCAACAGCCTTTTGAATTTCGTGAACAAGGAAAAGTCATGAGTGAAGAAACAGTATTTACACCTAGAGGAGCCCTTCTGGAAGGGATTGTCCGTAAATGCAATGAGTGCAGGGACACCCGTGATAAGGTACCTTTCGTTGTCCGAGACAGAACCCAAGGAGGACAGACTCGCTGCAGTTGTAATGAAAAGGGGAGAGCTGCAGAGATTACTCCAGTGCATTTGAATCCTCCTAGGTATGTTGAACATGAGCAGCAGAAATGTTATGAAAGTGGGGCCAGTCTCAGAAACACATTTCACACCTATCCGCGTGAGAGTACCCAGTTAGCGAAGAATAATTTGGGATATAAGAGATATGGTGAAGCGGCCTCTAAAACCTCTGTTCTGACTGAACATCAGAAAACACAAGCAGACAATCAACCTGATGAGTGTGGGGGCACCACTGAGATTTCCTTACAGAGGGGATACCAGAGAAATCTCACTGCAGTGAAGTTGTTTGGCTCTAACGTTTATGTGAAAACTTACTCATGGAAGACTGCCCTCACTTTACATCCACAGTCTCAAATGGGAGTGAAGTGCTACCTGTGTCAGGTGTGTAAGAAAACTTTCAGGCGGAAACTTGCTTTTAGTGTCCATCAGAAAACTCATACAAGGGAGAAATCCTATGAATGTCAGGCGTGCAGGAAAGTGTTCTCCGGTAAGTCAGTTCGTGTTCTACATGAGAGGACTCACACTGGAGAGAAATGCTATGAATGTGAAGGGTGTGGGAAAGCTTTTTCCAGGAAGTCTCACCTTACTGAGCATCAGAGAATTCACACTGGAGAGAAGCCTTACGAATGTCAAGAGTGTAGGAAGACTTTCCACTTGAAATCATCCCTCCCTCACCATCAGAGAAGTCACACTGGAATGAAGCCTTATGAATGTCAAGGGTACAGGAAGACTTTCAACTGGAAATCATCCCTCACTGAACATCAGAGCGGTCACACTGGTGAGAAACGCTATGATTGTGAAGGGTGTGGGAAAGCTTTTTCTCGTAAGGCACACCTTACTAGACATCAGAGAATTCACACTGGAGAGAAACCCTATGAATGTGAAGGGTGTGGTAAAGCTTTTTCCAGTAAGTGTTACCTCAGTGAGCATCAGACAATTCAAAGTGGAGAGAAGCCTTATGAATGTCAAGAGTGTAGTAAGACTTTCCGATGGAAATCATCCCTCAGTCAACATCAGAGAAGTCACACTGGAGAGAAGCCTTATGAATGTGAAGAGTGTAGTAAGACTTTCCGATGGAAATCATCCCTCAGTAAACATCAGAGAATTCACACTGGAGAGAAACCCTATGATTGTGAAGCGTGTGGGAAAGCTTTTTCCCGTAAGTCCAACCTCATTAGACATCAGAGAAGTCACGCTGGAGAGAAACCCTATGATTGTGAAGCGTGTGGGAAAGCTTTTTCCCATAAGTCACACCTCATTACACATCAGAGAATTCATAGTGGAGGGAAATCCTACGAGTGTCAAGAATGTGGGAAGGCTTTCCGCCAGAAATTATCCCTCAGTAAACATCAGAGAAGTCACAGTGGAGAGAAGCCTTATGAGTGTCAAGAGTGTGGAAAAAGTTTTTCCAGTAAGCAGGCTCTCACTGGACATCAGAGATGTCACTGGACAAAATCCCTATGATTGTGAAGAGTGGGAATACTTTTCAGGAAGTCAGCCCTCACTAGGCATGACAAACTCCACACTGGAGGGAAATGCTATGAATGTCAAGAGTGTGCAGGCAATCCTCCCCTGGTGGTGCAGGTGGTTGAGCGCAGTGCTGTGAAGCTGTCCGTGGACTTTGCGGTGGGAGTTTGATTTCCTGGCCGGCCAGGAACAGCCCCATGGTGCGGCAGACCTCTCCATTCTGGCCCACTGCATGTATTTCAGCAGTGTATTTCGGTCAGTCTGCCTGTACTGTTCCCCGCTCTGTCTCTGCTGCATCCTCTCCCCCTCCCACACATCTGGCCTGTACCCTGGTTCTTGTATGCTTGAATAAATAAAAATCTTTTAAAAAATATTCAAACGTAGGAGCTTAAACCACATCATGCAGCTGAGAGCAATGGGAACTGACATACAGTTTCAATCCTAATTGCGTGGAGTTACCTGGTTCACTCTGTTCTCCCAAGTTCATGCAGTGATGATGTTGCTGTTCCTGTTGCCGTTGCCTCTAGTATCCTCTTAAGTTCCTGGGCGATGCTATGCCTGTCCACAGCAGCTGTCTGTCTACATGGCACACTGCATGTTGCGTGGGTAAGTGATCTCTCTGGGTTTTCTAACTTAGTCGTCACGTTCTGTCCAGTACTCTAGGTCTCTGTGGTGCCCCCCGATGCTGGAATTGCTCACCACCAAAATGTCCTCCTCTAGAAGGAAACGTTGAACTGTGTGCTATCGGCTATAGGTTGAGGTCTGCAGATGTCTTTACCTACCTTTCATGATGAAGGTTTTTCGGGGCCTCCCTGGTGGCCTCGGGGTTAAGTCTCAGCACTATTGCCTGCTTTGGCCAGGGTTTCAGCCCCAGCTAGGGAGCCGCCCCACATATGGCCACAGCAGGCCTCTCCTGTGTCACCCGCTGCTCCCGTTAGCCAGATATTTCAGTGGTTCTGCCTGTTTGTCACCACACTCAGTATCTGGTGAATCCTAACACCCCCGAACCTCTGGTCTACACCCCAGTTCTACAAAATAAGGGAATTTTTTTGGAAGATTAATTCTGCACACAAGATCTGGGGTGCAAGCCGGAGGTATGAGGGGGTGAGAGGATTCTCCACAGAGAGAGTGGGGTGCACTACAGGCGGATCTACTGAAATCCACTGCTGAGGGGGGCAGTGGGGACACAGGAAAGGTCTACTGTGCCCTTGGGTCACCTCCCCGGCCAGGGATCGAACTCATGTCTGCAGTACTGAGAACAGCTTCATAGTGGTGAGACTTTACCCCTGCGCCAACTGAGGCCCCTGAATTTTTTTAAAGGAAAGGATTCTTGCCTGTTAATTTTTTTTATTAAATTATTGTTCATCTTTGTGCAATATTGGATTGCTCCCTTTCTGTATAATTCTTGCAAATGTCCTGTCCGCACCGCCCCTGTGACCCGTCACCCCAGGCCCTGGTGCTCCTCCTCCCCTCCTGGCCCCTCTTCTGCCCCATTCCCTGCTGGCGTCTCAGCTCTGTCATCTGCCTGCTAGTTTTGACTTTTTCCCCTGACCCTTTCTTCGTTCCCCTGTATTCCTCCTGGAGGTGATGATGTAATCCAGGTCTTTTTCCTTCACTCTTGTTCAGAACATAATCCCTTCCGCCGTTGCTGGTCTTGTCCTGAATGTGGTCTTTGTCTGAGTCAGTTCATAGCTTTGGGTGAGTGGTCGGTGTGGAATGTGGTGGCTGAGGAAGTCCTTGATGTAACTCTCGCTCCCACTCCCCCCTCAGCGGCCCCGGGCACCTTCTGGTGTGTTTCTTTGGCTCCATGGTGATGCCTAGCGGAGAGTTTGTGCAGCAGGCCTGGAGTCTGAGGCCTAGGGTGTGCTCTTCCTCATTTCTTGTCTTTGGTGCGAAAGTACTTCCAAGTGGAGCCCAGAGTTCCAGAAGAGCCAGACATTTACTCACAGGAGTAAGGACAAGAAAGCTCCCTGAGCAGAACGGTCCCGAGGGGTGGCCGCTGGGGCCGAGAAGCAGGGGCTCCCACGGCTGTGGCGGTCAGGGAGGGGTGCTGGTTGTGGGGGTCTCTGCAGTGTGTCTCTTGCTGAGGGGCTTGGCCTGAGTCCTCTCCCGAGGCTCCGAGGCCCGCTGAGTTTGCCCCCGTTACTCGCCTGCATGTCCACACCTAGCCTTCGTCTGTGGATTTGCAGTCGTGTCCTGTGTTGGCTCCGCGGCGTCCTCTCCGCAGGGCTGGGCTCGGGGCCCGTCCATCGGGGATTGTTTCTCTGATCATGGATTTGGGACTTGGGTGCCCGCTACTCCCTGTCTGTGCCCTCTACGCAGCTTCCTCAGTCAGGAACATCTCTACGGCCAGAGCCCCCGTCCTGTGTTTCCAGGTCGGTGACTGATGGGGTGTCTGTCCCCTGAGAGCATCCTCCCTGATTCAGGGGGAGGTACATTGGTCCCTTCAAACTCCACCTGGAGTGTTGGGGCCATGGGCCATATTCCTCAACGCGCCATGGGAGGTTTCTGAGGTTTTCACGCCTAGGCCGCAGGCCGCTTTCCACGATGCTGCAGGCTCCTAGGTGTCCTTGAGCGCCCATTAAAGATGGCATTGGGCCCCTCAGCCTTCACCTCAGACCTGGTCCAAAGAGGCCTGCAGGGTTTGCTAAGACAACGCTCCTCTGCTAGTACCACGTTCCCTGGAAGTGTCTGTTGCTGTGACGTGACCCATGTGGGCTGTTGCAGCAAGGGTCACTCTCTGCTCTGAAGGTGAGGGGTTCAGGGGACTCGTGTCACGTCCCCCTGCAGGTGTGTTGGGGCGTCCAGGGGTGTGGCGGGTGAGGCCTCTGTGGATGGGTGGGCGGCCCAGGTGGGTGGTGATGCTGTCAGCGGTGGCCCAGGAGAGCCCTCCACCGTGCTCCATGGGGACCTTGCCCAGCTCAGTCGCATCCCGGGGTCAGGATGCGCAGCATCAGCACAGCCCAGAGACACTGTCCACGCTCCAGCGGTGAGGACACTACAGGAGCCTTGATCTCCAGGGACAGGTTGTGGACCAGGGCAGGGGAGCAATCCCTAGAGACGAGTGGGGAGCAGAACAGGCAGATCCATTGAAATCCACTGCTGAGGGGAGCCGCGGGGAGACAGGAGAGGTGCTGCGCCCTGTGGGTCAGCTCCCTGGCTGGGGATGGAGTTCTTGCTGCAGTGGCTGTGGACAGCTTCACGGTCTGAGACTTACGGAGCAAGGAGGCTATGGGTCCATTCTTGTGTGGGGCGCTTATCCTTCGGATATGGGGACAAGAGGTGTGTGCTACTTGCAGGTCTGTGCCATCTCCCTTGGTCGCCCCCACCCCTAAGTTCATCCCCTGGATGAAAGGGAGTGTACCCATAAGATACCGAGGTTGATGGCCGGTCTTGGGCTGCGAGGTTCTCTTTCTCTGGAGAAGCAGAACTGCTCGGGAAGACCATGTTTGTCTTGGTAATGTAGCCAGGCTAGAGGACAAAGAATAGTTTGACTTTTAACCCTTTGCACTCCAAAACATTCTGGACACCTCATATTATTTAGTATAATTTTGGAACCAAGTAACGTATTATAATGATACTGGACTTATATGAATTGGGTGACATCGAGTAATGTATATTTGCAAAAAAAACACTATTTTATTGTTTATAATTTTGTACAGTATGATAAGTTTTGTAACACTCCCCAATATGCATTGCAGGCTGATTAGTGGAGCTCATCTTTACTACTACTTGTGTCATGAGACTCATTCGTGGTTGGACGCTTTGCCATTGTTCTAATAAAAAATATAAATAAATACATGGGTTGAAAGTTTCTAATTGTTATTACTAACTGACAAGATGATATTTACCAAAATAGCTTTCACCAAACAATTTATTCACTAAGAAAAGAATCACTTTTCCGATTTTCTCCTCTTTAGATCTATGTGCACTGCTCGAAGCTTCAAACCAAAATGAGCTCAGCTTTGAAAATCTTTTCCTCTAGATGTAGACTTGTTTATTTGTAATTATATATCTCACTACACAGTGTGCACTGTTTGAAAACCGACCTTTCTTCTACAAACTCCCCTTATCACTCTTTTCAAGTGGCATCACGATGTGCTCGGACCGTTGTGAGCACGCATCTCACATTCTTGTCCGACACAAAACGCGCTGACATTTCTTGTATATATCTTAGTAATTTTACGATATTTTGATTTAATTTCTTGTGCCATTTCAAGATAAAACTTCAGGGAAACATGCATATCTCAAGAAGTTTCATTGAAATAACTCAATTCCCCATAATCACTAATAAATTGCAATGTCCCCTGAGAGGGGACATCCGAGTGATATGCTAGAATTCCGATGTCCCCTGAGATGGGACAGCGGAGTGCAAAGGGTTAAGCAATGAGCAGAAAGAACACAGGTCTATTTTGGGGATGTATGTAAGCCTTTGGGACACCCTGGTTTCAGAAATAAGAGTTACACGACAGAGTGAGTGTATGTAATGCCACCAAACTCTGCATTGAAAAACATACGCCTTCCTAAGTACAAATAATGAACTAGAAGAGGAAATTAACAAAGCCATCCCACCTACAATTGCACACGCAGAAAAAATAACTGGGAATAAATTTAACAGAGGAGGTGAAAGACTTTTACAAGGAAAACTATCAAACATTGTGGAAAAAAATAATGAAAGACCCAGCTCATGGGGTGGAAGAATCAACATTGTCCAAAGGGCCATCCAACCCAAAGCCCCTTCTAGATTCACTGCAACCCCAATAAATATCCCAATGACATTCTTCAGAGGAATAGAACAAAGATTACTGAGGTTCATATGGAAACACAAAAGACCCCAAATAACCAAAGCTTTCCTGATTAAAAGCGGGGGGAAATGAAGGAGTCACACTTCTGACCTCAAACTAAAGGTAAGGGGCCTCCCTGGTGGCCCAGGGGTTAAACACAGTGCTCTCAAACTACTGCCAGCCACTGTGCACAAGTTGGATCCCCAGCCAGCCAGGGAGCTGACTGCCATGTGCCTCAGACCTCTCCTGACTGGCCTGCTGCGCCCCTCAGCAGTGTATTTTGTCAGTCGGCCTGCTCTGTTCCCTGCTCTGTCTCTGGTGAATCCTCTCAACCCCGGCATCTACGGCCTGTACCCCAGCTCTTGTGTGCATAAATAAATAAATCTTAAGTATTCGTTAAACGAGTATTTTGGAAAGCCAAATAATTGAGCTAGTTACCTTATCAAATTCTTAGTTATAAATTAATCTGACTTGTGATATCATTTTGAAGAATACTAATAATAAATATGTGTAGATTCATGAAACAAATCTGTAAAAACTTGGATGTGTGAAAGAATATGTGGAACATCCCGAGAGAAAGGAAATACATCCCGAGAGCAGGCCAGGAGGAGCTGCTCACCTTCTCACAAGCAGGGATGAGCATCAAGCAGTCTCGGGCGGGGAGAGGCAGCATTGTTTCCAGCTCCTGTCCTGAGACTTTCCTGGACTGGGCTGCAGTGACCAACATGTCGGCCAAGGTGAGGTGAACTGTGGACTCTCTGTCCTGAGGAGAGAGTGATTGGGGCCATCCTCCTGCAGAGAGCTGGGGTGGAGGACGTGGACGCCGCTCGGGGCGCCGTCTCCCCGTGACTCTGCACACCCTGCTCGGCGGCCTTTCGGGGTGAGCTGAGGAATCAGTGTGAAGGACACGTTAAGTCTGTGAAAAGGCCCCCCGTGCTCGCCGTGGTCACTGCTGAGTAGCCCGGGAATGTTTTCTCTCTGCAGTGAGCCCTGTACAGGCTCCGGTGGCTCCAGGCCCTCCAGGGACGCTGTCGGGGAAGCCGGAGCC